TAGTGTTAACATACTACACAGGTCATGAACAAGATTTTTATTTTTTTCATTGTAAGTGGGCTAAAGCAGTTAATTAAAAGTAGTCTAACATAAATGTAAATGCTGTAATTTTATTATTTTAATAAACATGTTACTTGGATGGATTCGATGCTGGCATGACCACAGTGCACACGTCTGATTTTGCTCACAGTGGTCCAAGGGATCGCTCAGGGAGTTTGTGTGTTCAGACACATGAAAAATTAGAGGGAACATTGGTTATAACCTTCATTTTATGGAGGCACAGTGTGAGCACTCAGGTTGCATCAGAGCATCAGGCCATATAGTGTGAGACCCTGCATCGTGACCTATGAACTTATAACCCCTGCGAGTCAATCGTGCAGTTTGGAAATCGCACAGTGTTTGCCCAGCTTTAGGTGTACTGTCGTCTGAGACTTGCACCGCAGTGTCGGCGTTTGTTTCCCTGTTGGCCATGCTTCTTGTTGTGGTCATCTGTTGTCTTCCGGTATTTTCTCCGCAAGCGACCTTTCCTCAACCAATGAGATGAGCGGTAATCTGAATTGTCATACTCGAATTGTCATAAGTGTGCTGTCAGCTCATTGGTCACAAAGCAGGAGAGGGGCTGGGAATTATGTTTTCAAACAAAGCGTTAATTCCATTAAAACTTATAGACTACTTTTGATTCTCACTGTATTACGGGACAAAGTGCGTCCCTTATTAGCTCAATACGGGACGTGTACTTTTGTTTCTAAATACGGGACGATTCTGTTTTTTAAGGGACGGTTGGCAACCCTAAGTGCACCCCCTCCGGACCAACACTGCTCATCCGACATTAAACTGCCCACCTTACTAACCGGATGATGTCACTAGACGGTGGGCTGGCCCAAACCGACAGAAGACTGAATATTAAATGAACTGCAAATAAACTTATAAACACCAATAAAACTATTCTATGAACTTTGGGGCCTTTTATACAGTGTCTAACAGTATGTGTATGAGAGCCATGTAATGTCCATGTGTGCATGCTGACTGTGCTGCTCTGACCCCCCTCCTCCTTTCAGGGTGGAGCCTGCTGGAGTCCAATGGTTGAGACCAAGTCTGAGGAAGTGTAAGTGTGTTTTTAATGGGTTTCATGAAAACAAAGCAGCACACATTCAACCATCTTTATCATTCTGATGTCAGGAGTCATCATCAAAGTGTCAATCAATGAACAGATGATGGATCAATAACTGCAGCTGGATTGTGTTTGTTCTCTCCATCAGATTCCTGTCAACTCACAATCGACACAAACACAGTACACACACACCTCAAACTGTCTGACAACAACAAGAAGGTGACACGAGTGGAGGAGGTTCAGTCATATCCTGATCATCCAGACAGATTTGATGTTTGTGAACAGCTGCTGTGTAGAAATGGTCTGACTGGTCGCTGTTACTGGGAGGTCGAGTGGAAAGAAACAGTTGAGATATCAGTGAGTTACAGAAGAATCAGAAGGAAAGGAGTCAGCAAGGACTGCGCGTTTGGATGGAACGATCATTCCTGGAGTCTGATCTGCTCTGAGGATGGTCCTCTTTATATCTGTCACAATAACAGCCACACATCCATATCCTCCTCCTCCTCCTCTGTCTCTAACAGAGCAGCAGTGTATGTGGACTGTCCTGCTGGCACTCTGTCCTTCTACAGAGTCTCCTCTGACACTCTGATTCACCTCCACACTTTCAACACCACATTCACTGAAACTCTCTATCCTGGATTTTGGCTCTGGTCTCCTGGTGCCTCAGTGTCCCTGTGCTGAGTGGAGTTTAAAGAGTGTCTCCTGTTAGAGAAACACTCTGACGGTTGAACAGATAGTTCAGTCTGTACATGTCTGTCTCTTTCACTCACAAACACGTTTCCAGATTCATGGATTCAATCAGTTGATGTTTGAAACTCTTCTAAATGATTCCTTGTAAACTTCTTCCTCTTCAGTCCTTTAAAGATGGAAGCTCCCATTATTCCAGGATCCACATGTTGTTTTCTGTCTTTTTCCACGCAAAGCTTCACAGTGAATCTCAGTATGTTGTGTTTCTCTGAAGCTCAGTTCACAACCAGCTCCTCTGCATTTTCAACAAGTCTGAGCTCATTAAAATGAATCTAAATGTTTGATTTCTCTTTCTTAATGGGATGTTTTCAAACTCTCCACATGCTCTTACTGTTTCACTCATTGTTGGAAGCTCATCATTTGAAAATGAAAGCAGGTTTATATGTTTCACGCTTACTGACTGAGATCTTTAGTGGGGGGTCGACATCAATGTTCCCTCTAATTTTTCATGTGTCTGAGCGAACACCCAAACTATTATTGATATATGATATTAAAAGAAAAGTCAGTTTAAGGTAGATGGTGGGTATATTATTTTAATTTCTTACATGTTAAATATGTAATCGGAACTGACTTGCACCACCTTAAAATCTAATCTGTAATAGGAAATTATGTCATAAGCAAACAAGAAGGTAGTCAGTAAATTGAGGAGAAAGGTTGTACTCAGCTAGTTAAATCCAGCTTTGTCCGGATACATCCATTGCCTTTGGTGGCTTTGTGGGTATGTATGTATATACAGAGTTGTTTTATGTTTTATGCTCATGTATGGATCATTCTTGTTGAAGTAAGGTAATTTTCTCTAAGTATAATGATAAAAAAAAACAATCTCCTACAATTTATACTAGCGATTGATCACTGAGTTAGTTAAAGAGCAATTGGAAAAACAAAATAGAGGTGCAAGCAATTAATTACAGCAAGAGTTGTTTAAAATCATAATTTAATATTTATATGTGTGTTAGAAATGGAAGAAATTCACATAAATATTGTAGGAATATATGTTGACTTGTATTAAAAAAGTGGTTATTTTATTTTCATCATTTTATCTGTACATATGCCTTGAACTGTATGTTGCAGTTTCAGCTTTCCCTTTGTCAATAAACCTTTGAACCAGGAACTGTGTCATTAGAGTCTTGATGTGGGGAAGGAGTTTAGCTGACTGACAAATCATAGCAGAGGATGTACAGAATCCAAATGTTATATTTCTCTTCTTTTTTTTTTTTACATTTTTTAAACCAACCTCTCCAAATGTGCTCACTTGCTTTTGAAATAGGAAAGGAAGAAAGCTCTCAAAATGAGTATATTTTCACATTAAGAGAACATTTGCATGGTTTTTGCTTTTATTTTCTGTCTAACCCTCTTAAAACAGTGTGGATGCTCCATGGCTGAAAAAGACACTAACATCTCCTTGAATTCGTCACTGATTGTGATTTGTGGCCCTCTGCTCGTGAGAAGATATACTGCATCATGTCATTTTCATGAACACAGATGACATGAAGTGTTTTTAAATCTGCTTTTTCTAATTTTTCAGGATCCTGCTCCAGGAAACAGCTCGAAAAATCTCTGAGTTTTCAATAAAATCTGTTATTCTGCATTGGAGAAAAGAGTCACTTGAATCAGTTTAACCACTCTATCATCATCATACTCAGAATCAAGTTTGATATCAAATATATTATTTTGATCTTGAAGGCAATCTGTTTGTCTTGGTGCTTTTCTAATAGTGAGGACAGGATAGTGAGGATACTTTGTTTCATGTGTAAATGATTCATTCAATTCATTCATTCAAATTCATGTGTAAATCAGCAGCTAAGTATTCAAATGAAGTCAAAGTAGCGAGGTCCATCATTTTACACACAGGTTGGTTTGAGTGAAGAACTCCAATGCCTCCACTTTTCTGATGGTGTCTCACAGCTTGATAAGAACCTATGTTTGGGGGTCAGGTTTAATTTCTAACTGGGACACCATCCTCTGTGAGCCAGGTTTACACAAGAAACATTCAATCTGATTCATTTTCACTCATTAGATCATTAATAATAAACAAAAGGTCTTATTTTCGTGGGAGTTGACATTTAATAATCAAATGTGAGTTTGGACACAGTATCTGAGCAGGAATACATTTACAGAGCTGTAAATCAGACTAGACACACGTCTGGAGAGCTGCTGAGCTCTGGGTCTCTATATTTACAGGCACAGCAGGAGACAGACAGCGCACTTTGTTCTTTTTTATTGTTGTATCTTAGATATAGAACCATACCAAGAAGTATTAGGACCACATTAAGAAAACAAATATTATTGATCATTTTGAGAATAAAGTGGAAATGTGGAGATTACAGTTGTTGTTTCAGGACAAATTGCCACGGTTGCTGTTCCCTCTGAGTTGGAGAAATCCTACTTCAGAATTGGTTTTAGTTGCAAGGAAATTATTTTTCTTTCAGCTCATAAACACAGTGTGGTTATCAGTATAAGGACGTTGAAAAGATGATGTAGAAAAAAAACAAAAAACAAACATGGAAGAGTTGGGCGGATTTGTAGAAAATGAAATGGCTGGTCATGGACAGCTGGAAGGTTATCGATGGTTCTGTCCTCGTGCAATAAAGAGGATGGATGTTGTATCACTAGACAGCTGATCAGTTTGTTTCCCTAACTCATCTACATAAGGCATTTTGTAAAGGGTAGAGCAGCTGTGGCATTTTGACTGTAATCTGCACATTTCCACTTTCATCTCCAAATTTGCCCAAGATTTACGATTGAACTTTTCAGATGGGAGGTCAAAACACCGAAATCAGCATCTGGAGAAACAATAGAGCAATGTGGGCCAAATAAAATTGCTTCTGTTTTATGATCATTAAATCATAAAATGGATAATTTAAAAAGTTATTTGCCATCCACTGTTTAACGTCACTGTCAAGCAAGCAAAGATTGACAGGCACAGGTATCCAGGTGTTTAAAGGGTATGACTTTATCCATGACAGTGCCATATTTGAAATTTCCACCCAGTGGTGTTAGCGGGAAATCAGAAGATCGTGATCAACTCTGTCAAATGCAGCTGTCATGTCCAATAAGACAAGCACAGCATATTTACCACGATCAGTTACAACAAGAATGTCATTCATAACTTTGACAAGAGCTGTCTCCGTACTGTGAAAGGGCTTAAAACCAGATTTAAAAAGACCTCACACAGTTGTGACTCAATCAGGTATTTCATCAGCTGGGTATGTACAATCCCCTCCAGGATCTTACTTGGGAAGGGAAGCTTAGAGATAGGTCTAAAATGTGAGACGGAACTTGAAAAAAATAGCATGCATTGGTAATGTGGACCCGTATGAAATACGGCAGTGGAGTAGAAACCCTGAAGACCTATCGCCATTGTCCTACCCTGATACCTTCTCGTACCTTGTCTGTGGAGTCAGCACATACACGGCGAATCATTTTCGGAATTATAAATCCCTGGAGGCGCACATCTAATTCACAAATGGTTGGGTACAAGATTTGGCCATTTTTAAGCCTCCACGTTGGGAGTACGTTGACCATATGACCAAGATACAGCCAAAGGTTGCACATAACATTGACTTCTCCTCAGCAGCTGCCCCAAAATTTGCTCCAGAGGAAAACGTAAACA